AGTCCCAAAAGTAACCACACATTCATTTACACCAACAAAAAGTCTTATTTTATTTCATTCCTCAAAAGTATTCATTGAATATATATTAAATTGTTTGTAGTTTTAAACATTTATTTTATTAAATTGAAAAAAGTCAAAATCTTTTGATAATTTGAGAGTAAATTCATTAATAATTAGTAATCTATATTATTAAATATACAAGGATTGCACCCTTTAAAAATGCAAAATTATATTAGAAATAATTAAAATGAAATAGTAATGGATGAACGACCGAATGTATTTTTAATGATAGACTCAAACTCATCGATCTGATCATTAGATTTAGTAAAACAAATCCTAACCACATATTCAGCCAAATGTCTGTTTTGTTTGCTATAAAAAGCACTGCCGGGGAATACAAACAATCGCTGATCAATACAAACAAAACTTTAAATTAATTTCAAATTTATATGCAGTAAATGTAATAATTAGCCAAACCTTATGCTTCAAAAGCCAATTCATTAATCTAAAGTCCGCCCTTTGATCCGATTCGGTGGACAAATCAATTTTGTTGATCACATTAGTGAAGTTAGCCATAACTACTTGACCGCTATTAGGCTTAACAAAATCAATGCCCGCATCGCTCAAGATCTTGAGTATGCGATCCCTTTTAGCTATACTATGCTTAACAAGCGATGAATAATGTGATTCATCCGTATTAAGGATCTTGTTTTCCATCTCCAATCCGATGGCAAATGCCATTTGTGTGAGAGTGGGCGGCGCCCGCACTAAGACATTCATTCCTATATATACGCCCCATAATAGCTCTTCCGGTCCAATAATCCATCCGATTCTCCAACCAGTGTTGGAAAATATTTTGCCCCCACTGTTCACTGTAACCGTTCGACTCCATAATCCGGGTAATGTAGCTATTATTTAAGTGTTACAATTTTTAATAAACTTTTTACAAATTTTAATAACTACCAATTCTAGTGTGTTTCGGGCCTTCATAGTATTGAAACTGATAGACTTCGTCCGACAATATAATAACGTCGTGTTTTTCACATAACTTCCCAATAAATAGGAGCTCCTCTTCAGTGAATATCTTTAATATACAAATAAAAAGTAAATTAATTACTTATAAATAAAATGTGAACAATTTAACATATTGTAATTAAGTGTATTAAAATTGTTACTTACCTTCCCATTGGGATTATTAGGGTTAACAAGCCAGATCATTTTTGTGCGATTGGTGAAGGTTGCCTCCAACTCCTTTCTATTGAATGTTAAATCATTGGACTGCCGGGCCTTTTGGCCACTAACTGTGTTGAGGGGTACGAACACCGGTACTCCGCCCTCAAGTTGTATAATGATTTCAAGTCTTTTATAATACGGCTCAAACATAATCACTTCGTCGCCCGCATTGATGTAGGCCTTGGCTAACAGATACATGGCTTGCATCGCACCCATTGTCACCACAATCTCTTTGTCCGCATGTATTGGTCTCTTCATAAGGATTGAGTAGAGGTGAGCGATGGCTGCTCTGAGTCGGGGATCACCCCTACAGGAGCCTAAATTGTGTATCGCATAAGTGGTTTCATTTTGTGCCACACTCTGAAAGGCTTGAATAAAATGTTTGGGCGGCAAATAATTGGGATAACTGGTCGCAAAGCTAAGCGCGTTGTATTGATTGGACAGCAAATCAATTTCTAGACTGTCAAACATTACAATTGTTTGAAATGTTTAATAATTTTTATTGAAAATAATAAAATTATAACTCACAAAGTATCCGCTTCTTTGCCGTTGAATACATCGGCAGTTTTGTTAGAGCGACGAAATAATGGTATATTTGTGTGATTAATATTTAAACTATATAATTGTTTAATATATATAAATACTAATAATATTTTGAATTGGTTTAAAATAGTATTCATCGACATCGTTAATACCAATGAATGTAAGTTTAGTTTTATTATATTGTGGAAATTTTGTGGAAATTTTTCAAATTTATTGAAAGTTTTTTCCATAAAATAATATTAAAATTATTAAAAAATACATACTTTTAAAGTAATTTTATTTGAAAATCTTAATAAATTTTCAGTATATATTTAACGTATACATTAAATTTTAAGTAAAATCAGAAGTTTGTATACAAACACTGAACCAAACAATTAATTATTTAAAGTAGGCACAAATTATACAGTATTTATAAATAAATTTTAAAGTAAATTATTTTTGTTATGAGCGATAAATATGAGAAGAAAAATAAAGCAATGAATAAACATCACAATCACTAACCATTAAACAGTCACTGCTTAAAACATAAAAGCAATTAGTGTTGAATTTACAAACAGACAAAAATAATTCAATTTATCAACACTTTTTGTTTTAAATGATATTTATTTAAAATACTGATTGTATGAATAGAGAAAATGTTTGTCCCGTTTAACGGTATTTGGGGGCGAAGACAGACATTGTTGTACTCATCATATGTTGCTTTCGGACACAATCACGTTATCAGGTATTTGAACCCTCTTGTTGTGAATCCCTTCCATAAAACGTGGTCCGCCCGACGATACGACCAAATGAAATACTCGTCCCCTATTGGCCACTGGTTTGGAGTTTAAGAAACCGATCACATCTGACTCATATGACTCATAGTTATAGTCGAGATGAATGTTGAGTCGATCCACACCAGCGAATAGATCCAGAGTCTGACGAGGAATATCGTAACTAATAAAATAATGAAAATTACAGATTGAAATGTGTTTGAGTTGAGGCAGTTTTGAGACACAATCCATGCACTGATGGAAACACTGATCGCATTCGTGTTCATTGTCACAATCGATGTGCCAATACATGTTGCCGACCGACAGTTGGCGTACATTCGGAAACATTTCTGCCATATTTGACCACCGATTCGGTGAACACCTTAATCCAGACAGCGATAACGACCGCAACGACTGCATCGGTTTCATGTGTGCGGCCATCGCTTGGGTGTCGAAACACATACAATTCAAGTGAAAGGGACGACCCCTAAGAATCAGGTCTCGCAGATGTTTGAGTTTAACGATAGAGTCGGCGAAGTCTTTCATCGAAATGTTGTCCAAAACAATCTTCAATCTCTTGAGACGTTGGAGACGATCGCAGATCAACGCAAACCACTCGTTGAATATATTTTGTTCAGACCCGCTGTGATTGGCCCGCCTGTGGTAACTAAGGGACAGTTTGCGTATTTGTGTGCATTGGGATGTAATGTCACGGATGGCTTCAGTTTCGCCCATAGTTTCACTTACGGTAAAGTCAAGACTTCGGATCTTTGCGGGCAAATACTTGGCGAGTGTCTCGACTTCAATGTTTGGCCCGTTATGGCTAAGGTCACAGATTTTTAGACTTTGCAAAAGTGGCAACTTTTTAATAAGACTTGTCATAAATGGCACATATTTTCCGTCAGTTTTGCCAACAATAATGTGCGTAAATTTGGACATGAGTTGCGCCCATTGATCAGCCACTGTCGGGTCTCGCCAACCATTGATCGTGATGTTGTCAATGTACAGCTTCCGTAAGTGTGGCCAACGGTTGACCAACAGCTCAATTGTCTCCGCATTCAGAAGAGTTGACGACAGGTATAAGCTGTTGACGTCCCGGAAGTGGTCGACCATTGACTCCAACCGCCATTCTTTGCGATTCATAAGATCGACGCCTTTGTAAGCGAGCGCTGGTGTGATGTCAATGCGTTTGCAATGAGTCACCTTATTCTGTGGTCTGAAGTCACGCAATACATAGTTGTGATGTCCACTGTTGAAACCAATGGCCACTTCTCTCTTCATGAACAGCACTTCCCGCAGACAGTGGAGGAACTGTTGTGACACTCGCTGTAATGCAAACACTTGATTGATGTCGAGTCGGCCTAATATGAGTGACAAGACATCGTCGTTGAGGACATCACTTCTTTTCTGTTCATTCGTTTCATTCATTTCTTCTGATTTCAGAATTTATTTCTATTCTTTTGGCATTTGTTTTAATTTGTAATTTTCCGTTATTTTCTTTAAATTGACGTTTAAATCAAGATTTTTAAAAATGATGTTAAATAATCATGTGTCAACAAAATGTTAACAATTTATCATTCATTTTATATTTATTCATTGTTTATAGATATAGTTTATAGTATTCCGTATAATATTAATGATTTGAATATTTAATAAAATTATTTGATTTTTAAATGTATAATTGTCTAAAAAATTTAATTTATTGTGAATACATTTCTGTATACTCGAGGCATTCCTTCATATAGTAAACAGAATTACGTTATGAGGAATTGAAACAATCTTTACACGCATTGTGTCCACAAGTATATCGTTAAACCTGGCCGACAATCCCAAGCGAAACACTCGTCCTCTTTTGACCACTTGTTTGGAGGTCATGAAACTGATCACATCGTTGATTACATCGTCGTCCTCATAGGTCACAAGATTTAACTGATCCATACCAGCGAACAGGTCCAGTATCTGCCGTGAAATAGTGACCCAATTGTAGCCAATAGTCATGTGCTTGAGTTGCGGGAGTCTTGAGACACAACCCATACACTGATTGAAACACAGATTGCAATTGGTTTGGTTGTGACAATCGAAATGACAATATATGTGTTCGACCGACAGTTGGCGTACATTCGGAAACATTTCGGCCATATTTGACCACTGATTGGGCGAACACTTCAATCCATACAGCGATAGGGACCGCAATGACTTCACGGGTTTGATGTGTGCGGCCATCGATTGTGTATCGAAACACATTTTGTCCAAATGGTTGGGTGAATGCGGACGACCGGTAATCCTCAGGTGTCGCAAGTCTTTGAGTTTTGCGATACTATCGGCAAAATCTTTGGCAGAAATGTTGTCCAAAATAATGTTGAATCTCTTTAGACCAATGAGACGATCGCAGATCAACGCAAACCATTGGTTCCAACTGTCGATTTCACTTCTCGGTCGATAGCAATCAACGGACAGTTGACTTAATTGCTTATATCTGGATGTGATTTCACATATGATTTGAGTTTTACTAGTGGTCACCTGAATGTGTAGACACCGGATATTTGTGGGCAAATAGTTGGCCAGTGGTGTGAAATCAATGAATGATTCACTAAAATCGTGACATAGCTTTAGACTTTGCAAAAATGACAACTTTTTGATAATATGTATCATAAATAGTACATATTTTCGGTCTATTTTGGCGATTATAATGTGAGTAACTTTGGATATAAGTTGCGTCCACTGGTCGGCCACTGTCTGGTCCCGCCAGCCATCGATGTCAATGTCGTAAATGTAGAGCTTTCGTAGGTTTGGCCAATGGTTGACCAACAGCTCAATTGTCTCCGCACTCAATAGAGTTGACGACAGGCATAAGCTGTTGACGTCCCGAAAGTGGTCGACCATTGACTCCAACCGCCACTCCTTGCGATTGATAAGATCCACACCTTTGTGTGCGAGCGCTGGTGTGATGTCTATGCGCTTCCAGTCAGCGCTCTTGACATGTAATCTATTGAATTCATTCCATGAGTTTGTGTACCAATTCTCAAATCCAATGCTCACAACTTTCTTCTTCAGCAACACTTCCCGCAAACAGTGGCGGAACTGTTGTGACACTCGCTGTAATGCAAACACTTCATTGATGTCGAGTCGGCCTAATATGAGTGACAAAACTTTATCGTTGAGGACATCACTTCTTTTCTGTCCATTGGTTTTATTCATTTCTTCTGATTTAGTATTTGTTTCTATTCTTTAGACATTTTTACACAAATAACTGACTTTTGATTTATTTTGCAATAATTTTCCGTTACTTTCTTTAAATTAGCGAATAATCGAGATTTTTAAATATCACGTTAAATAAACTATTTATTTATTTAATTTAAAATGTTAACAATTTATAATTAATTATAAGTTACGAATAAAAACACTTAATTTTAAGAACAATTCAAATGTGCTTTTTTATACATTGTGAAAATAAAACTACAGTTAACTCGATGTAAGGCAAACACTTGATTGATGTCGAGTCGGCCTAATATGAGTGACAAGACATCGTCGTTGAGGACATCACTTCTTTGCCGTCCATTCATTCATTTCTGTATTTCTTTATTTTCTTTGAGTTGTTTTTTTTCCAGAATTGGGTTTTGATATTCTGTAAGTTTTTTCGTTACCTTTAACTCAAATTAATTTTTGTCTTCATATTGTTATAAATTGAATAATCATTTTACAATTTTCTATCCTCATGGTAAATTAAACAATTTAATATCTTAATTCAACTTTCGTTTACATTATAATATAATATATTTTATCAATTAAATACTGTAAATAGCATATTATATTCATAAATTAACTATTTATTAAATTATAAAGCTACTATTTAAAGTTATTAATATTGATAAAATTTTATTTTTAAACATGAATATATTAATATCATAGTCTATATTCATCATAAAAGAGATTGATAGTATTTAATTCTTTAGCAATGATTATTGAAAAAAAATAATTATTAAGTAATAAAAATCAACAAAACTGTATTGGTTATTTGTCGACACGTGTTTGGGGTTGAATTATACAAAATAAATCATATGTGAATAAAAATATCATATTTTATTTAAACATTTATATAAATTAATTTGAATTTATTGTTGTTTAAAGATGTGGTTCACTTGAAATTGATATTTTGTGCAGACGTCTATACATTAATCAACCAGTTTAAAATAAATATAAAATGTCTAAATATTTCAATCAAAACTTAATAAAACTTTTAATAATATTTATTTATTTTCAATTAATAATCGGCAAAAACATTGTGAAAAATCATTTCCATCGCTCACAATATATCCGATCGCCCAAAACGGCAAATGTGTATAATATGAGTGATGCGGACATTCTGTAAATATAAACTACAATTATAATTATCATTATTATTCATTAATAATCAATATGTAATTGACCATTTTCATTTGACTTGCAGTCTAGAGTTTGACGATCTGGTCGCTCAATACAATCCCATAGACATCGGCAATGGTTTCCCTAACTATAATCCGCCGAAGCATTTGTTGGATGCGTTGAGAGACGTGACGGCAAACGACACTTCGTGGCGATTACATCAATACGCGGACTTCAGGGGTGACCCTCGGCTCCGGCGGGCGATCGCCAAACTAAGCGAACCTCTCATCAAACGACATATCGACGCCGACCGCGAAGTTCTGGTCACAATCGGCGCCATTCAAGCCCTCGATTTGGTCACAAAATCGTTTGTCAATCCGGGCGATGAAGTCATCTTTTTTAGCCCATTCTTTGTACAATACGAGCAAATCATACGACTTGAGGGCGGAGTTCCCATTTTGGTACCACTAAAGACACTAAATGGACAAAAGCCTCGCGAAGCAAACGATCTGTCATTTGATAGAAAGGAATTGGAGGCAGCGTTTAACAATCGGACAAAAATGATCTGGGTTAATAACCCTAATAATCCAACGGGCAAAGTATATTTATTATTATAATTGTACACTTCTAGAAATGCAACTAAAATTAATGACAAGTTTTTAATGTTTATTTAGTCGTTTACTGAAGAAGAGCTTACGTTTATCGGGCAGTTGTGTGAGAAACACGATGTGATCATTATATCAGACGAAGTGGGCCAGTGGTATAACTACGGGGGTCAGCCCCACGTCAGACTCGGTAAAGCATTTCAACACTCATTTATCACTATATTTGTAGATTAAGTAGAAGTGGTTTAATGTTTATTAATAAATTGGTAAAACTAACAGCAAGTCTGCCGGGAATGTGGAAACGGACGATAACAGTGGTGAGTGGGGGAAAGACATTCAGTAACATTGGATGGAGAATCGGGTGGGCTTTCGGTCCCGAAGAGCTACTTTGGGGTTTGGCTGTAGGGTTGAGCGCATCGGTGTTGGCGGTGCCGACACCAACACAGGTAGCCTTTGCTATGGCTTTGGAGGTGGAGATCGAACGGCTCAACACAAATCAGTCCTACTTCTCATGGCTTTCGACTGAGTCTATGGCAAAACGCGACCGATTTCTAAAAATCCTTAACGAGATGGGCGTCGACGCAATCAAACCAAATGCCGGCTATTTTATTGTCACTAACTTTACAAATATTGTTAATAGGATTGATCTGTCCCTCGAGAAGGACACCCGAACTGGCTTTCAATTAGCTCTTTGGCTCATTCGCCAAAAGGTTGAGCCATTTTTATAGTCTATTATACACTAATTTAAATTGTTTTGTTTGAATTGTATTTGTGTTTATCATTAAAATGCAGGGATTGTCAGCATTTCCGGGGAATCTGTTTTACCCGACGGACCAAAAAGACGACTCGGAGTTTGTGCTGAGAATGTGTTTCATTAAGACAGACGCTCTGATCGATAAGATTGAAGGCATACTTAAGAATACGTTTGCGGTTAAGGCTAATAGCAGTTAATTAATAGACCTGTGATTAGTTGTTATTATTACAAGTTGTGAAATTGTAATTTATTATAAATCAATTTTATTGATTGAGTTATTGTTTTTTGTTGTTTACTGTAATATAAATACTTTATAATGATAATTTATTATTGATAAAGTTAAAATTACAAAATTAAGTTTAAATTTTATTCAAATAAAAACTATTTCACTATTTTAGTCTAGAGTTTAACATTCGGTCCCAAATACACGGAGTATTACACAATCAATATAAATAACATATTTTATTTTAAAATACATTTTTCATTAAATAGTTTATTTAGTGACCCAAAAAAATCACTGAAAAATGTCTAAATATTTTAATCAAAATGTAATAAAACTTTTATTTATTTTTATTAATTTTCAATTAATAATTAACAAATACATAGCGAAAAATCATTTCCATCGCTCGCAATACATACGATCGCCCAAAACAGTAAACGTGTTTAATATGAGCGATGTGGATATCATGTAAATATAAATTACCATTGTTATAAGTATTATACATTACTATTTAAAATATAATTAACCATGTTCAAATATTTCCAACACATTCATCACTAACTCTGGTCAGGATTGAGTACGACGATCTGGTTAATAGACTCGATGAACACGATTGACACAGGCTTTGTTTATCCCAACTATAATCCTCCGCAGCATTTGTTGGATGCGTTGAGAGACTTATCGGCCAACGATTCGTGGAAAACACATCAGTACCCCATCTTTAGGGGTGAACTGCGACTCCGGCGGGCGATCACCAAACTAAACGAGCCTCTCGTCAAACGACATATCGATGCCGACCGCGAGGTTCTGGTCACAGTCGGCGCCATTCAAGCCCTCGATTTGGCTGCAAAATCATATGTCAGTCCCGGAGACGATCCCAGTGCCGGTTGTCCTTACTTTACAGTAAAACATTTTGTTAATTAATTTAATTTAATTGAATGTGGCATTATTTTTACAAACAATATTTGTTGTTGATTCTAAATTAATTATTAGTTATTATAACTATTATACCAATTTAATATGCAATATAATTAATTGAATTTAATGAAATTGATATCATTATAATTTATTAATACAAAACTTTCCATAAATTATACAGTATTTTCATTAATAGCAAAATTACAAGTTTTAATACATTTCAATGAATCAAAATGCATGTGATAAAAATGTCAATGAAAAAGTTTATAAATCTACTTAAAATAACACTATTATTAACGTATTGTGAGAAAGTTTGTGGCAATAATACTAACCAAACAAATGTAGGATTTTTTCATCGATCTAATAAAACTGCCGACATATTCAACGGCAAAGAAGCGGATACGTTGTGAGTTATAACGTTATAATTTGCAATGAAATTATTAAACATTTCAAACAATTGTAATGTTTTACAGTCTAGAAATTGAGATGCTGTCGCATCAATACAAATCGCTTAGCTTTGCGTCCAATTATCCCAATTATATGCCTTCAAAACATATGATGCAAGCGTTTCGGAGTGTGGCTCAGAATGAGACCACTTATGCGATACACCATTTGGGCTCCTGTAGGGGAGATCCTCGACTCAGAGCAGCCATCGCTTACCTCTACTCAATCCTTATGAAGAGACCAATACATGCGGACAAAGAGATTGCGGTGACAACGGGTGCGATGCAAGCCCTGTATCTGTTAGCCAAGGCCTACATCAATGCGGGCGATGAAGTGATTATGTTTGAGCCGTTTTTTAAAAGACTTGAAATCATTATTAAAATATCGGGTGGAATACCAGTGTTCGTACCCCTCAACACAGTTAGTGGCCAAAAGGCCCGGCAGTCCAATGATCTAACATTCAATAGAAAGGAGTTGGAGGCAGCCTTCACCAATCGCACAAAAATGATCTGGCTTGTTAACCCTAATAATCCTACTGGGAAGGTAAGTAACAATTTTTATACACATAATTACAATATATTAAATTGTTTACATTTTATTCATAAAACAGTAACTAATTTACATTTTTAATTTGTATATTAAAGATATTCACTGAAGAGGAGCTCCTATTTATTGGAGAGTTATGTAAAAAACACGACGTGATTATATTGTCGGACGAAGTCTATCAGTTTCACACCTTTGAAGGCCCAAAACACACCAGAATTGGTAGTTATTTACAATTTTTAAAAAGTTTATTAAATTTAATTGTAACACTTAAATAATAGCTACATTACCCGGATTATGGAGTCGGACGGTCACAGTAAACAGTGGGGGCAAAATATTTTCGTCAACCGGTTGGAGAATTGGATGGATTATCGGACCGGAGGAGCTATTATGGGGCGTATATATCGGAATGAATGCCTTAGTGCGGGCGCCGCCCACTCCCACACAAATGGCATTTGCCATCGGTTTGGAGATGGAAAACAAGATTCTCAATACGGATGAATCATATTATCAATCGCTGGTTAAGTATACTATAGCTAAAAGGGATCGCATGCTTAAGATCTTGAGCGATGCGGGCATTGATTTTGTTAAGCCTAATAGTGGTCAAGTAGTTATGGCTAACTTCACTAATGTTATCAACAAAATTGATTTGTCCACTGAATCGGATCAAAAAGCGGACTTTAGATTAATGAATTGGCTTATGAAGCATAAGGTTTGGCTAATTATTACATTTACTGTATATAAATTTGAAATTAATTTAAAGTTTTGTTTGTATTGAGCAGCGATTGTTTGTATTCCCCGGCAGTGCTTTCTATAGCAAACAAAACAGACATTTGGCTGAATTTGTGGTTAGGATTTGTTTTGTTAAATCTAATGATCAGATCGACGAGTTTGAGTCTATCATTAAAAGTACATTCGGTCGTTCATCTATTTTTATTTCGTTATATAATAATTTCTAATTTAATTCTGCACTTTTTCATAATTATTTGTAATTATTAATGAATTTACTCTCGAATTAGCAAAAGATTGTGACTTTATTTTCAATTTCATAAAATAAATGTTTAAAACTTCAAACAATTTAATATATATTCAATGAATACTTTTGAGGAATGAAATAAAATAAGACTTTTTGTTGGTATAAATGAATGTGTGGTTACTTTTGGGACCAAAACATGTCTAACGGTTTTTNAAAACATGTCTAACGGTTTTTGCGGCCGACGTTAGCGTTGGGGTTATAGTCGCGAACTAAAGTGCCGGGAGTGAGGGGTACACCACAACTGCCTTTGCACTGACACCAGCTCTTCAGCAAATACATGGCCACCAGACGAATGGATTCCATGATAAGCATTGAGATCAACATTTTGATGAATACGGCGCCACCGGAACCGCCCGATTGGTGCGAAGCCGTGTCCGTATCGGTGGTGCCGGTTGTCCGGCGCGGAGGCGATGGGCATCGGGCCGACGATATGTACGAATAGAGCCATAGGAACTCAATTGACATCAGTATACAACTGACCACCATTTGGATGCGATGGTTGGCTATGTATATGGGAAACAGTCGCACGTGTTCTTTAAGCCGATGAGGCATTCTTCCGGATGTGTTGTCTTAAGACTGGTGTAAATGTGTTTCACAAATAGTTTGTTTGTTTGGTTTTTGTGATTTGAATTTTTGTTTATGTTTAACGTTATTGTTTAACTTGTTAGTAATTGCATTTAGAATACAATGTATATCGCAACAATACAATTATTGTTACCATTGTTAACATTATAAAAAATCTTAATTCAACGTTTATTTAAAAGAAAGTAACGGAAAGTTATTACAAAATTACTTGCGGTAAAAATGCCCAAAACAAAGAAGCAAACACTGGAATCAAATGACATCAATGAAACCAATGAACAGCAAAGAAATTATGTCTTGTCACTCATATTAGGCCGACTAGATATCAAAGACTTGTTTGCATTACAGCGAGTGTCACAACAGTTCCTCAAATGTCTGCGGGAAGTGCTGCTGAAGAAGAGAGAAGTGAGCATTGGATTCAAAGATGAGTGCAAAAAGTCAGTGATGCAAGACTTCAGACTTCAGTTTAAGTCCAGCGATTGGAAGCGCATTGACATCACACGAGCGCTCGCTTACTCCCAATTGGAGGCAATGGTTGGCCACTTTCGGGACGTCAACAGTCTATACGTGTCGTTCATTACATTGAATGCGAACACAATTGAGCTGTTGCTCAACCATTGGCCACACTTACGAAAGCTCTACATTCACAACATCAACGGCTGGCCTCAAAAGACAGTGACCGACCAATGGGTGCAACTCATGTCCTCATTCACTCACATTATCGTCGCCCAAATGGACCAAAAATATGTGCCATTCATCACAAACCTTATCAACGAATTGCCGTCATTGCAAAGTGTGAAGATCTGCCGCAACTCTGAGGACCCAATCATACCTCTCACACCACTCGCCAAGTGTTTGCACTCAAATATCCGATGCCTAGACATTCAGGTGACCGGTAGTGAGACTCAGGCCATCCGTGGCATCACATGGAGATGCAAACAAATACGTCAACTTTCCATTGGTTATCACCAAATGCCCCAAAATTATGACTTTCCTGGAGAAACATTCAACGAGTGGTTTGCGTTGATCTGCGATCGTCTCCAACGTCTCAAGAGATTAAACATTATTTTGAACAAAATTTCAGTCAAGGATTTCGCCGATTGTATCGCAAAACTCAAAAATCTGCGACACCTGAGAGTTGCGGGTCCTTATTATCGGTGGAATCACTTCCAGGCAATGTGTTTCGATACCCAATCGATGGCCGTATATATGAAACCGATGCAGTCGTTGCGATCGTTATCGCTATATAGATTGCGGTGTTCACCGAATCGGTGGTCAAATATGGCTGAAATGTTTCCAAGTGTACGCAAACTGTCGGTCGATCACGTGTTTTGGCATAACGATTGTCACAACCCATCCAATTGCAGTCTCTGTTTCTATGGGTGTATGGATTATGTTTCAAGACTTCCTCAACTCAAGCACATGATCATCATTTATGCCTTCGGTCGCACTATTTCGCGTCAAATACTGGATCTGTTCGCTGGTGTCGATCGACTGAGTATTGATTTTTCGCCGACAGATCTCAATATCGACGATGTGATCAGTTTCTTGATCTCCAAACCAGTGGTCAATAGGGGGCGAGTCTTTCGTTTTGGTCTGCCGTCAGTTACGTGTAATCATTTGATGGACAAAATGCGCGAAATGAATGTTCAAATGCCTGATAACCTGATTGTATCCGAAGAATATTTATATTAGTAAAGGATGTCTGCCGTCGGTCTTGAAACTAAGCAAACGAAACAAACATTTTCATTATATTTGATCAGTAGTTTGTAATAAATATTCTTTCAAACAAAAAAGTGTTGAGAATTTTAATTGTTTTTAATTTGTTTGCAAATTCAATAGTAATTTTAATCTTTGACGCAGTGTTTTATAGTATCTCTAATTCAATTGATTATCACAAATAATACATTTTAACTGCAAAAACATGTTTTAAAATATTCTGAAGCCTCTTAATTGTTTACATACAGTATAAGTCCAAACAGTTCTCAAGCACTGGTTAGTGATTGTGATATTTATTCATTTGTTTTATTCTTCTTCTCGTATCCATCGCTTATAACAAAAATAATTTGATTTAAAATTCATTTATAAATACTGTATAATTTGTGTGTACTTTAAATAATTAATTGTTTGGTTTAGTGTTTGTATACAAACTTCTGATTTTACTTAAAATTTAATGTAAACGTTAAATATATACTGAAATTTATTAGGTTTTTCGCATAAAATTACTTTAAAAGTATGTATTTTTAATAATTAAGTTACTTGGTAGTAATTGTAATTATCATTTAGAATATATCTCAACAATACATTCAATATCTCTCAAATACTGAATAATTATACGTATATTTAATTAATGATAAACTGTTAACACTTTGAAAAAACTTAATTCAACGTTCATTTAAAAGAAAGTAACGGAAAATTATTACAAAATAAATCAAACAAAATTATTTGCGGTAAAAATGTTCAAAACAAAGAAGCAAACACTGGAATCAAATGACATGCATGAAATCAATGAACAGCAAAGAAGTGATGTCCTCAACGATGATGTCTTGTCACTCATATTAGGCCGACTCGACATCAATCAAGTGTTTGCATTACAGCGAGTGTCACAATAGTTTCGCTATTGTCTGGAAGAAGTGCTGCTCAGGAAGAGAGAAGTGAGCATTGGATTCAAAGATGTGTCAGCGATGCAAGACTTCAGACCTCAGTTTAAGTCCAGTGATTGGAAACGCATAGACATCACACGAGCGCTCGCTTACAAAAGCGAAGATCTTATGAATCGCAGGGAATGGCGGTTGGAGTCAATGGTTGGCCACTTTCGGGACGTCAACAGCTTATACCTGTCGTCCAATCTATTGAAAGCGGAGACAATTGAACTGTTGGTCAACCATTGGCCACACTTACGGAGCTCTACATTCATAACATCAAGATTGATGAATGTGGGGACCAGACAGTGACCGACCAATGGGTGAAACTCATGTCAAAATTTACTGACATTATGGTCGCCAAAATCGACGAAAAATATGTGCCATTTATGACAACCGTTATTAAGAATTTGCCACTTTTGCAAAGTCTAAAAATCTGTCGTAACTTTAAAGAACCAGTTATTACTCTCACTTCACTCGCCAAGTATTTGCCCACAAATATCCGAAACCTAGACTTTCAGGTGACCACTAATGATAATCAAGGCATACGAGACATGACATTGAGGTGCACACAAATACGTCAACTATCCATTGGTTGTCACCGAATGATCACTCAAATGCATCAATTGAACGGCTTTTTTCAAAAAAATATATTCAACGCGTGGTTTGCTTTGATCTGCGATCGTCTCCAGCGTCTCAAAAGACTGGACATTATTTTGGGCACAATTTCAGCAAAAGATTTTGCCGATAGTATTGCAAAACTCAAAAACCTGCGACACCTGAGCGTTTCCCGTCCGCATCACTTACGTGTGCGCTCGTATTGGATGTGTTTTGACACCCAATCGATGGCCGCACACATGAACCCAATGGATTCGTTGCGAACGTTATCGTTGTCCGGATTGCGCTGTTCACCGAATCAGTGGTCAAATATGGCTGAAATGTTTCCAAAATTACTCCAAATGTCAGTCGATCGCATTCTTTGTCACATCGGTTGTCACAACCCTTGCAATCAATGTTTCTATCGATGTATGGATTATGTCTCAAGACTTCCTCACCTCAAGCGTATGATCATTGGGTTTAACTTCAATGACACTATTTCGCGTCAAATACTGGATCTGTTCGCTGGTGTCGATCAACTGAGTGTTGGTCTTTGGCCATCAGATCCCAGGAGCGGCGATGTCATCGGTTTCTTAATCTCCAAACCAGTGGCCAATAGGAGGCGAGTCTTTCGTTTAGGTTTGCCGTCAGTTACTTGCAATCATTTGATGGACAAAATGCGTGAAATGAATGTCCAAATGCCTGATAACGTGTTTATGTTTCAAAATTATATGGATTAGTAAAGGGATGCCTATCGTCGGCCCCAAATCCAAGCAAACCGGACAAACATTTTCTTTATATTTGATCCGTATTTTGCAATAAATTTCACTTCAAACAAAAAGTGTTGAAAATTTTAATTGTTTACTATTTGTTTGTAAATTCAACAGTAATTTTAGTCTTTATTTAATCGGACTGTTAAGTAGTATAGTTAGTGATTGTGTTGTTTACTCGATTCAACAGTTGATAATCACAATTAATATACTGGATAAAAATTATTATATTATGTAATTATATATAAGTTATTTATATTATTGAATTTATACAATACAAAATTTAAATAACTAATAATCTACATTACTTTACAAAATGTTTTAATTCATTGAAATTATTGATTATGATTCATTATTTATGGGAACGTTGAACCAATAAAAACTTTATTTTCCAAACTTAAAAATATATCATTTTATTATAATTTATCTATATTTATATATACAGTATAAGTCAAAACAGCTCTTAAATACCGTATAATTAAATATATACTTAACATGTAAATTATTAAATAATAATAAATAATCAAAAATATTTTAATGAAATCAGTTATGATTTTATTGAATTAAAGAATAATAATTAAATATATATTTTGAAAAATGGTTATTATAATTACAATTATAATTTTGTATGCGGAATGACAGATAGGTTTACACCCATCATTAAATAAAATGTGAATTTTCAACATTTTAGGATTAGTTTAATTACAAATTTAATGTATTATTCATGTAATATATTCACAATTTAATTAACAAGAAATTCAAACATAAATGGTAACATTTATTTTACATTTAAATTATGATAAACAGTGTATTTTTATTGTACATTATTTGTCAAGAATATACACATAATACATGTATATTTATTATATATATATTATTCTGTGCACTAATTTCAATAAAGTCTATAATAAAGTCATTTCTTAAGGCTTTAAATTATTCATAAAAATACATAAAACAATACATTGAATGCAATGTTAGATAAAATTCACAAAGAGTTTACGTCACAAACCGATATATAAAGTGTGGGCACAGAAAACACACATACAGTACAGTATAGAGCGATGTGTTATTTTAAAGCTCTAAATACACACAAAAAACTATAAAAACTATGTTTTTATTCGCCGTTCAATTTCTTTATGATCTAAATTATGATTTAATACTAAACATAATTTGTTGCTATGATTCTCATTATTATTCTTTGCGATTCTGGCGCTGAACACAGAACACACCCAATGCAACACTAAATACATTATATAATATACTCTATATTCTTGTATATTCTGTATACATGTTATGACTGATTCTTGAGTACAAAATATAATGACTTTTTTTCCATGTATTCCATGTGGGAGTGGATCACCTGAAAGGTGCCAAATATTGTCTATAGCTTATTGTGTGCATGTTTTTGTATTATATAATATGTCTTGCATTGTGGAGTGAATGAGATGATGGTATATATTTTACAGCAATGATAAAACCTTAATATATAATTTAATACGAGTAATAAATATATTAGTTACTAATAATAGCAAATTAGTGGACAAATAATTAGTTGCCAATAATTGCGATAATGTATTGAATAATTTAGTTTAACATAAGTTAAGTCTCTTATTTTTATAATCTAGTATAGATATAATGGTTTTTATAATGCAATCAAAATATTGGTTTCTTAATTATCATATGATAACTTAAAATAGACTTAATGTCTAAAATGAAAATATGAATAAAATATCAATTTTGTTTAAGTTTCAGCTATTATTTCTAAAAATTAATTTTTGATTTTTGTATTCAATAATGACTTTTCGATAAGTAAATTACTTTGCAAATGATTTTAACACTCGATTCTTTTAATAATATATAATACAGTACATGTATGTTTAACATTTTGCATAGATTTTACTCATGATAAATAACTTAATATTCTGTTGTGTAGATAATGAGATCATTTTCACGAAAATTATAACTAACACCAGAATTGAAACAAATGATGAGAAGTCAATATTTTTTAATAACTCATTAACTCTTACATCGCTTACAAGTTTGTAAAATAAGAAATATCTATTTTTACCATTCATTTCCATGTGATTATCGCAGAAATAACAACAAATTCAGAAAGTATTTTGAATCAAACATTGAAATAACAAATCGTTTGTTTTGTTGTGTTATTAATAACGAGTTTATGAACTTATTTTCCTGCTGTTCCCGTTGTGGTGATTATTCATTAAGCCATCGTTCATATCGTTGATCACCGAAATAGACATTGAATTTCTTTGTCTAATTTCCTCCATTTCTTTTCGCCTATTAATTCATGGATTAATGTTTTAAAATGTTCATATTATTTATCAATATATCATTGAATACCTGACGCAGAGGTAGAGATAAATACATGAAAGAGCAGTCATTGTAAGGTTAAGCAAAATGATGAGAAACTTGAGACCACCCGAACCGGTGAAGCAACTGATGATTGTGGCCAAAGTCATCACTACAGCGAAGACCGACATCACCGCCAGATTGCCCTTTAATACACCCAAAATGCCAATCAATTCAAACGTAAAGCAAATCAATGCCATTATTAACATAATAATTGCGCCCAATTCTGTCACATATTGTATTTAATAAAAAAACAAACAAATAAAAACATTTAATTAATTTATATAAAAACAAGTCTAACCCATAAGGCTTTGATCCTTAAGATTGCCGACATCTTGAGAGGCGCCCACCGCGAAGAGTGCGGCCACCAATTGGGCAATTGATCCGATTATACTCAACGCAATCACCGATATTAGTATCGTCTTCACTAACGTCAGACTATTTGTCATTTGAATCGGCATTTTGTATGTAGTATTCAATTTAAAAGCACACAAAAAGTCGATATAAATATTCCGGTAGAATATTCTTGTGGTTAAAAATAACACACGACTTATAACAACCGATTATTATAGTATCAAATCGTTTTGTTTTATTTTTTGCTTGTATTTTATCGCCAATTATTATGATCTCAATCAATGTTGAAGTGATGATGGATTGAGAGCTACCACTGAGTGCCGCGTTTTCATTGATCTCTCACTTTCTCTTTTCAGAGCACTTTCTTTCACAACCAAATTATTGTTATCTAACGCACAAACAATAGCACCGGTACTCATATATAGAGACACACACTCTCACAAACACAGGTGTACGAGACGTTTACTTATATAATATGCAAATTATGTGACACTTCATAGAAAGACAGAGTGAGTGAAGGATTGAGTGGAGAAAAAATCTGCTTCACTATTGAGACTAACCGATAGCTTAAGCACTAAATAGTTTTACATCTCGTGTGCTGTACTCTGTTTTAGACATACCTTTATTACACATCCCTTAATACCTGTCCTCTCACTCCCCGAATACATACTCACGAAAGAGTAAAGTATCAGTTTTTATACTCTCTCTCTCTCTCTCTCTCTCTCTCTCTCTCTCAAAGTATAAGTGAAGCAGATTTTTTCTCCACTCAATCCTTCACTCTCTCTCTCTCTCTCTCTCTCTCTCTCTCCTAAACCATTAATAGCTGTAATGACTTTAGAGGTAATACTGTTCAACATTTTTATTATTTGTGTCTTTTGTTTTATATTTGATGAGAACAAGAGATATACGAAAAATCGATAATTTTCTTGCATTAATAATTGATTAGAAATTGTGCTTAAAATCATGTTATTTCGCGTGTTATCAATGAATATATATATTATTTTTTGTGGTTATATATTGTGCACCGATTTTTCTTCTTTACTAAAGGCTTATCATTAAGACTTATATTTCTATTTTAGATCTAATATTAATTTATTTTTTTGTGTTTTGAGAAATTTTATCATAACTTTTTCGGACAATAATAATAATTACAATCTATAAATATAGACATTTTTCTTTGTTATACTTTCTTATTATTAATGGCTTTATATGTTGATAATAATAAGATAAATATGATACAAATATTGTTATTGCTAATATATTTACTTATTTTTATATCATTTATAATATTAAAATAATTTTTTCACTACATTTTAACTGCTATTTAAATTAACTTAGGTGGTAAACAGTAAAATAAATTAACACACAAAAAACATATAAACTCAGAGAACTTAAAAACAAGGGAAATCACATTTTAGCAAAAAATGTTGTAACACTTAACTAAATATTTAGCAATTTCAAAGTCAATTTCCAACAAAACACATAATTATAGCAACGATTTTGTCAATATTTGCATGTTTTTCGGATATTTGCATATTTATACATATTCTTGACTTCGATCCTAAAAAATGTCAAAACACTACATGTTTTTCAAAAAGTAATTTTTTCAGTAAAGACTTTATGCCTAATGATTGATAGGGAAAAGACATGTCGTGTCTGAGACTACTTTTCGTTGCTTTATATATATAAATAAAATGAAGAAATTTAAAAAGTTAAACACAATTTAAATTTATTGGGTTTTTTATTACATACAAAATAATGGCTATTTTATACAATATGATTAGTTAAATGAATAGTTAATTTGCTTACAACTAAATATACAATAAATTATTACAATTTAAATTTAAATAAACATTTGTAAAGAACTTGTGGTTTCGTTATATAAATATATTTAATTTATGTCAAAGGATTTCAAAGTATATTTGTGTAACATTTAAGTCATTTCGTATATTTAACTCATACAACGGTTACGAATTCACGGATTTTTATAATGCATTAAAACTCTTTAGAAAAAGTCTAAATATAATTTTCTTTATAAATAAAACTTAAATATAGAATATTCTGTGATATTATAATGAAATTCAATATTAATAAAGGAGAAAAAAAATTAATTTCATATTACATACGATTATATTACTTATTATACAGGGCTATGAATAAATTGTTTTAATAATTACATCTATGAGGTTTATTCGGGACAAACTCAAACAAATTTGCCAAAATGCAAATCATTGAAAACGGTAGTTGTTTTGTAAATAAACGTGTTTGAAAAACCGTTTGATGAGTGTATATCAGTCTTTAATCTTAAGCATTTGGTATATCAACGAAAGGGCACATATGGTGGCCATAAAAGTGGTGACTCCCTCGACATATCCGGCCTGAAAGTGGAACTTAAAGAATAGACTGATTCCCATAAGACTGGCGAATACTGTGGTCAGAATGAGGTTCTCTTTGATGGCAGCGAACACTCCAACCAATTCTATAACTGTTGATATAATTGATATCAATAATAATGCAATGCATTGTTTTCCTGTGGTTTCGGTGTTTTCAATGAAAGAAAATACAAAAAGACAATTGAAATGATTTACATCAAAAATCTGCTTATTTTTTGTTATATATAGTTTTTCTAGTCATTAATTACATTGGATTTAATTTTCATTTACTGATGATTTTTAAATATTTATATAAATATACACGATATGGCTGTTGAATGTCATTATGTATTTTTCTTTCTTACGTTTTAATGACATTTTAGGGTTTGCCTTAAATTCATGGAAATTTAATAATAAAGTCTAGATCTGAATGTTAGATAAATTGATATGTAATAAAATTAGTGCATTATTTAAATGCATTTATTGCGAAACATTTTGTCGCTTTTAATTTATAAATTATAACATTGTTTTATAAATATTAGCATTTCTAGATCTGTTTAAAAGATTATTAGTTATAAAATTAAACATTGCATTAAAGCTTTACATTTTTATTATGTTTTTAATGTAAATAAACTAAATATAGTTTAATTTTTAACTGCGGTTCTTGAAAAATTAAAAAATAAATATTTTAAAAATAGCATATATTTTTATTTTTATAAACTAACAAGTTAAAATTAGTTAAATATTATACATTTGTTATTATTGCAACAATACAAAAAGTAAAACTCAACATTTCATTATATAAATGCAATTAAAGCATAACATTATATAAATTATATTAATATTGTCAAACAACATTAAACTTGAAATGATAAATCTAACATGATAATTTACAATATCCCCAATAATACAATATGATTACTTACTAATGCTTTGTTTATCGTCAACATCTGTCAATTTGATAATTTCCAGGATATATATTGAATGGCAAAACAGTCCAATCGATGCTATTATACATACGAAACACAATACAATTAACAATATTTTTACAAATTTATAGCTAAAACTATCCAATTGGCGGACAGGCATTACTGCATAACTAAATACATTTGATTTATATCTTATCGATAATTAAATCTCAAACACATCAGACGAACAACAAAACTAAAAGTATTAAAATTTGTCACAACAACACCAATTATAAACGTGTGACTATTAAAAAATACAATACATTATTATAATTTACAACAAATAAAATATGTGAAGTATGAGATATTTATGCACTGAAAATGTATAAGAATTATACAAAGAAGTTATGGTGAAACTAATTGCAATATCAACTCATATGAGAGCTTAAACCAGTGCCTTAATAGCATAGTTAGTAGCACTAAATGTCTTTGGGTTTGTAGCGGTGCATAAGGTTTTGGTTTGTGTTGCGATTCCGTACAGGAATTGAGTGAATGCCAGCAAAACTGAACGCAGAGTTACTTTATTTAGTTGACGACCAAATCGTAAGTCTAAGCAATTAGAAGTGAGTCTATCTCTCAAATAGTAATACAAATAAATTATGTCAAAAAAAACGTTTTAAGACTCCAACAGAATTGTAATAAATCCTAAATATTTTTTAAATATGAGTGAAATAACGTTGAGAGAGAGAGAGAGAGAGAGAGAGAGATGCTCTTATTTTTTAAGGTTAAACAGAAATAATTTTTATTGAATGTATTTATTATTCATAAGGCTTTTTCTCGTTAATTCTCAATACCAAACGCGAAAATAGTTTGGCTCACAATTAACATATAATTTACAAAGTTTTGGTATAGATCGACAACGTTTGCCTTAAAATGTATAATTTGTTTAAAATAAATATAAATTAAGGCCTACTCTATAAATTAAATTGTAATAACAGTTTAATATCAATATTTTTGTTGAGTCTTTCTGGTGTCACAACTCTAATGACAACTATTTTCGTTAACATATAATTTATAAAATATCTTATATAAATAAATATAGCAATCAGTCGTCGACTACTTGCCCTCTGATTCTCTCATTTTTGTTATATTTATTACAAAATATATTTCAAGAAAACAGTTTACAAGTGATTAATCAAATATAACTTTTTGTCGTGTCGTTCAGTCAATTCAGTGAGAAAAGTATATTTTTTGTATAAAAAACAAAATAATTTTGGTATATATTATGTTTGGGTTTTGTGTCAATTGTAACCATCGGATGGCAAATGTCTGGAGAGATGCCAAAGCAGTAGAGCTTATTGAATGACTTACGGCTCGCAATCAATAAGAAAAAATATTGTGCAGAATATTGTTCAAAATTATTTTGAAAACAATTTGACGCCAATTAACAGCCAATGATTACTATCAATAGATAACCCGCTAATTGATTGAAGACATTATTAACACAATTGGCTCTTATTGTGTGATTGTTATCGCATAATGAAAGACATTGTATCCGACAATAAACACTTTTTACAAAATGTAAAGTATCTTTATATACAAATTAGTTCATCGATGATCTCTCTCCCCCCTCTCTCTCTCTCTCTCTCTCTCTCTGCATAGAATATTCATACAATTTGTGTGCAATAAATCACTTGTAAAGCATTAGTAAAGGAGGAAACATAAAGAGAAAAGACAAAAGAAAAGTTTTCATTTTGTATTTTTTACATACAATTTGGCAAATTCTGTGCTAAAACTATGAGAGGCGACACAAAGAGAAAAATTCATAGCATTTGCAAAAAATAATTAATTCCTATAATAATTCACTTGTTTGTGTTTTTTATGCTAAAGTTAGTCTCACTTATATAATAACACAAATTGTTTCATTTTATTGGCATTAAATACAAATTAATGCAAAGGAAACCCCATTTAAATTGTCTTTTTGGATATTTTTACTCGTGATAAATATTTTGTAGTCTTAGGCTTCCCTTTTTGCTTACAGGCGCCGCACAAAAGGCACATTCAAAATGACATTTATATTCATTAATACAAAGAATATAACACAAAGTAATGGAAAATAATATCACTTTCAAAAATATTACAAAATCTGTAAAACATATTAATATAATGTTTATTAGAGATGTGTCACTAAATATCATACAATAATTAACATTTTTATTACATTTTTACAACATATCAATTATAATTTTGTTCAAATTTATAAAATATAAATTATTAAAAAGCAATATTTAAGCATTTATTCACTTAAAAATTTTTATAATTTGGGAAAAGTGAGAAATTACAGAAACATACATTTTATGTATAATTTAAAATTATTATTTATATGTGGAATGCGATTAAAAACACAGAATTTCACAATTAAACTCCAGTTACTGTTTGAAATTAATTAATCTATTGTCACAACACTTTGTTGTTCATCATCTCATAGAAAAAATACATTTATAATATTTTCTTTTCTTTATAGCATTTTAATTCTGGCTCAAAAAGCAATGTTTTAAAATTCCGATATATGTAAAAAGTATATATGTATTCTACATAGGTGCAATTAATGTTAGTGTAATTTATAATTACCAAATCATTATTTTAAATACAAATTATAACTCTTATTATTTACGAATCAATTATTCTTTAATTAAGTTACAAAAGTTTTGGTTCAAAACTCATCTGATGTTTATCTAACATCTAATACTAAATTACCCCAACGTATTAAATGACAGCATGTTTTTATTTTTATCCTGTTTTACAAAATTATTTTTGTCTAAAAATAATTTTTTCTGAGGAAAAGTTATGGTTTTGGAAAATGTTTACGATTTATATCTAGATTTTATGATTTCTACTCTAATTTGTTTTTATAATAATTCATTTCGTTGTCCAAATCAAATCCAAACCCAGATCTTTAAAACAGTAGCAATTTTTGTCGTATAAATAGATATTTAAAGTAATTGAATAGTAATTAATCAAGGCACTCTTCCGGATGCCACACGCTTTAATTGCATATTTAAATATTTGTTTTAAAAATATGAAAACTTTAGTTATGTTTAAATCTCACCTCAAATCTGTTGCTTAGGATTATCAGTGAAAGAATTATATAAACAAATTATGATTTAATATTATGGCTAATGAGTAGTGATATTGTTTGAGACAAACAACATGTCTTTGTTGTGTTGGAAAACTTTAAATTTTTGAACAATATTTGAATTCATAATTTCAATTACTAATTTATCATATTAGCACGAAACATTGAAACAACATATTTTTTAAAATAATTTATTAACAAAATCAATGTAAAGTATATTAAAATTTTTATATACATATAATATACAAATAAATAGACAATAAATAAAATAAATAATTAAATGAAAATTAATAAAACTGGTCAAAAATGCTTAACCAAAAAGAGATTGTCCAAGATTAGTGAGGGGTCCGGTAATGGGTCCGTTAAGGGGCCCGCCATTCATGAGTGGAGGCCGTCCGAGAAATGGCCGGCGCCAGAAGGGAACGGCGGCCGGTGTTTGCATCATTCCCGGTTGAATAATGATCAAGTCACTATTTTTCTTCTTCTTTTGCTCGATCACAATGAGTCCCTGTGGGCCGAGTGGTTGTTGTCCCGCAAACATCCGTCTCTGTCCATAGAAACTTGAATTCACACTATGTCTACATATCATTAACAGTAGAAATAACGATATGATTGCATAACGAATGAACATTTCAATTGGACTTTTAAATTATGAGATAAAGTTTTTGATAACATTTGAATACATTTTACAAAAAAGTTGTAAATGTTTTACAAATGATTTAGAATTAAGTTTTTTGTCCTTTTATATGAGAACAAGTTTTGTGTTAAATTGTCTCATTTTTTGCACTAATTATTCAAATCTAATGCAAAATAATAAATCCTATTAAATATGAATACAATAACAATATCTCATTGATTATAAATCAGTACTCGTTTAACGGCTGAAAGAGATTTCGCAAATCTCTCGCTTCAAAAACAACGAGTAAAATGCCATTTAATATATGATTATATTAATGATAAAGAAATTAAAGCCTATTTTTTGTATAAAATACAAATAAAATTACAAAAGATCATTATTAATGAATAAAAATGATCTCGCCCTTAATAACGGAGGAAATATCTTTATAATAGTAGCAAAATATTTCCCATTTATCTCCGGAACTAATTATTTTAATAAAAATTAATTTATTTATTAACAATTTTGAAACAAATTAATAATACATTCAATAATATTTTCAAATATAACAAATATCATACAAATACTAATTAAATTTATAAGATTTAGCTCTCATTTTAATACTTTATATTTAATTTCAGATATATTTAATTGTTTATTGAAATTAATTATAGGTAGATTTAAATACAAAATAAGTATAAGATAGAATAAGTATTAATCAAACAAACAAAACAAAAGCAACAATAGCTTAATATTTCTGCCAATGGCTCAAAGAGCTGACTGATTGGACGGGCATTAACTCGACGGTCTGATAGGACGGTGGGGCCAGCGGTGGCTTATTTCCAAACACTGTGTTGTAATCGGGTGGCGGGTTGTTATCCAAGTGGTTGTACTGTTGGCTACCCATAGACATGGGATCGATGCCAACACTGGTCGAGGGAAACACAGCCGCATTTCGGGGCACTCGACGCCTGAACTCAGCCCAACCCTCCTGTTGTATGAGAGCTATGAGCAAAAGTGTGAGGAATATAATGATCGTATTCCAGACGCCCAACAGTAGCAGAGGTCCGGTCGTGTAATACACGATCACTTGTATCAGCAATAGTAACACAAATAGTATCAATAAATAGTAACTCTTCTTAAATGTGCCGATTATTCCCAAGATTTCAGTGATAATAGCGATTAGGAATATCACCACAAATAGTATGAAGTCTCTGTCTATAAACATGTAAATTATGTTTGTTGTAAAGTAATATTTGTAAAACAGTGACAGTAATATTTACCTGAATTAAAGTACTGGTAATTTGATTGTTCATAATAAGTGATACAATTTATAAAATAGCCCACAGAGGCTAATAAGGCCAAGAATTGGAGCACTAATAAAGTACATTGCAGACAAATGATGGTGAATTTGGTTAATTTTACCAATTTAGGATTTAGTTGGGTATTCATTTTGAGGCTAGATTTTTCTCGCTATAAATAATAATACAATATTTGTTTGTCACTACATATTACCGATGAGGCGATTAAACGCGTATCAAATACCATAAGTTTATATGTTTTATGTTTCAAA